GTCAACATGGAAATAGACCAGCTCTGCTGATTTGGAACTTAGATTTTTTAAATTATGTCCTGGGGACAGGTTTTCGTCGCTTTACATGGCTTCCTAGTTCACAGCATGATGCAAATGATTTTCTAACTCGGTGTTAGGAGAAATTATTTTCCATCTTTAACCTCTTAGTTGTCTAAGAGTTAAATATCACTGAATTTCAGACATTTAAATTGATCATTACAAATCCCTTAAAACAATTACCTAAAAGAAACCAAAAAATCCTGCCGCCTTTGTTGGGGAAAGAAGAGGGGGAAGGAAATGGAACAAGTTGTGTTGTGTTAGCATGTGGGTGATGTAAACTTCAAATTGGGAGCTGTTCCGACCCCCACTCCCACATAAGCATTCAATCAGTGTAACTTGCAAAATGCATAAACATTGGACAGTTTGAATTTATAGTGTTGATGGAAGAAATCATTTTTAATGTGTACTGTAAAACTTGAAATACTCAGGAGCTGAGTGAATATGTTTGTTGCTACTTACAATCCCAACCTGTTAGTCCCAGTAGTTTTGTTTTAACATCGTCCTTTTCAACTTCATTTCCTGTTTAACTACAGACAATTTGTTATAGACTCACAAGTTTAACTGTTGTATTATAACAGTATTACATGTCAACAGTGTGGTTATGACCTTTATTTATATAAAAAACAAATATTTAGTCAATTTACTGTGTCTTAATTTAATCTTTGTACACCTTCCATTTTTAAGTGCTTAAATGAGTACTATATTGCAATAAAATGTAGTGATATAACCAGCCATTAAAAATTTACTATTACAGACGCTAGAGTGTCAACTGAGTTTATAATATAATATATATAGGTACTTGCATTATATTTACAATATAAACTAGGGCAATTTAAACAGATGGTTTCTAAAATAAATCAGCTCTATGACCTAAGACTGCCTTCAGTTTACAATGGCCTCCCTGGATCAGGGTCAAACTTGGTATTGTGGGTTGATACAGAAAGAAAATTAACAAGTTGTTCAAGACAATAACCATTTCCTTTGGTGGGCTATTCGGTACACTGGGGCCTGAACCTCTTTAAGAATAGGTATTTGGGGAGAAAAAAGCAGGTTTATGCAGTACTTGTATCAGACAAAATAGACTTCAAAACAAAGTAATGAGATAAAGAAGGTCATTACATAATGATAAAGTGGTCAGTTCAACAAGAGGATATAACCATTATAATGCACACAACACAGGAGCACCAGCATATGTGAAACAAATACTAACAGAATTAAAGGAGGAAATAGAATGCAATGCATTCATTTTAGGAGACTTCATTCAACATACCACTCACTCCAAAGGATAGATCAACCAAACAGAAAATAGTAAGGACACAGAGGCACTGACCAACACACTAGAACAGATGGACCTAACAGACATCTACAGAAGTATACACCCAAAAGCAACAGGATACACATTCTTCTCAAGTCCACATGGAACATTCTCCAGAACAGACCACATACTAGGCCACAAAAAGAGCCTCAGCAAATTCAAAAAGATTGAAACTCGACCAACCAACTTCGCATATCACAAAGGTATAAAACTAGAAATAAATTGTACAAAATAAAAAAGGCTCACAAGCATATGGTGGCTTAACAGCATGCTCCTAAATAATCAGTGGATCGATGACCAAATTAAAACAGATCAAACAATATATGGAGACAAATGAACACAACAGCACAATGCACCAACTTCTGCGGGATGTAGCAAAGGCCATGCTAAAGAGGGAAGTATATAGCAATCCAGGCCTATTTAAAGAACAATCCCAAATGAATAGTGTAAAGTCACAGTTACTGAAAGTGGATAAAGAACAAATGAGGCCCAAAGTCAGCAGGAGGGACATCATAAAGATCAGAGAATAAATAAAATTGAGAACAATAAAACAACAGAAAAAATTAAGAGCTGGTTCTTTGAGAAAATAAACAAAACAGATAAGTCCCTAGGCAGACTTATTAAGAGAAAAGGAGAATCTACACACATCAGAAGAATCAGAAATGAGAAAGGAAAAATCACGATGGACACCACAGAAATGAAAGAATTACTAGAGAATACTATGAAAATCTATATGCTAACCAACTGGATAACCTAGAAGAAATGGACAACTTTCTAGGAAAATACAACCTTCCAAGATTGACCAAGGGAGAAACACAAAATCTAAACAAACCAATTACCAGCAACAAAATTGAATTGGTAATCAAAAAACTACCCAAGAACAAAACTCCTGGACCAGATGGATTCACTGCTGAATTTTATCACACATTTAGAGAAGACATAATACCCATTCTCTTTAAAGTTTTCCAAAAACTAGAACAGGAGGGAATACCCCCAAACTCATTCTATGAAGCCAGCAACATTTTTAATACCAAAACCAGGCAAAGGCACCACAAAAAAAGAAAACTACAGACCAATATCCCCGATGAACACAGATGCAAAAAACACTCAACGAAATACTAGCAAACCAAATTCAAAAATGTATCAAAAGGATCATACACCATGATCAAGTGGGATTCATCTCAGGGATGCAAGGATGGTACAACATTTGAAAATCCATCATCATCCACCACATCAACAAAAAGGACAAAAACCACATGATCTCCATAGATGCTGAAAAAAGCATTTGACAAAATTCAACATCCATTCATGAAAAAAACTTTTAACAAAATGGGTATAGAGAGCAAGTACCTCAACATAATAAAGGCCATATATGACAAACCCACAGCCAACATTATACTTAACAGCGAGAAGCTGAAAGCTTTTCCCCTAAGATGGGGAACAAGACAAGGATGCCCACTCTCCCCGCTTTTATTCACACAGTACTGGAGGTTGTGGCCATGGCAATCAGACAACACAAAGAAACAAAAGGCATCCAGACTGGAAAGGAAGAAGTCAAACTCAGTTTGCAGATGACATGATATTGTACATAACAAACCCTAAAAAATACACTCCAAAACTACTAGAACTAATATCTGAGTTCAGCAAAGTTACAGGATACAAAATTAATACACAGAAATCTGTTGCATTCCTATCCACTAACAATGACCTAGCAGGAAGAGAAATCAGGAAAACAATTCCATTCACAATTGAATCAAAAAGAATACCTACAAATAAACCTAACCAAGGAAGTGAAAAGACCAATACCCTAGAAACTACAAGACAGTCCTAACAAAGTAAAGAAGACACTAATAAAATGAAAATTGAATTGGTAATCAAAAAACGACCCCAACTTCTGGGTAGGAAGAATTAATGTTGTCAAAATGGCCATCCTGCCCAAAGCAATATACAGATTCAATGCAATCCCTATCAAAACACCAACAGCATTCTTCAATGAACTGGAACAAATAGTTCTAAGATTCATATGGAACCACAAAAGACTCCAAATAGCTAAAGCAATCCTGAGAAGAAAGAATAAGGCAGGGGCATCTCCCTTCCCAACTTTAAGCTCTACTACAAAGCCACACTAATAAAGACAAGTTGGTACTGGCAAAAGAACAGACCCACAGACCAGTGGAACAAAACAGAGAGTCCAGATATTAATCCAAGCATATATGGTCAATTGATACATGACAAAGGAGCCATGGATATACATTGGGGAAATGACAGCCTCTTCAACAGCTGTTGTTGACAAAACTGGACGGCTACATGCAAGAGAATGAAACTGGATCATTGTCTAACCCCATATACAAAAGTAAACTCGAAATGGATCAAAGACCTGAATGTAAGTCATGAAACCATAAAACTTAAGAGAAAAACATAGGTAAAAATCTCTTGGACATAAACATGAGCAACTTCTTCATGAACATATCTCCCCGGGCAAGGGAAACAAGAGCAAAAATGAATAAGTGAGACTGTATCATGTACATCAAAGGACACCATCAGTAAAACAAAAAGGTATCCTACAGCATGGGAGAATATATTCATAAATGACAGATCCAATAAAGGGTTGACATTCAAATTATATAAAGAGCTCACGTACCTCAACAAACAAAAAGCAAATAATCCAATTAAAAAATGGGCAGAGGAGCTAAACAGTTCTCCAAAGAAGAAATCCAGATAGCCAATAGGCACATGAAAAGATGCTCCACATCACTTGTCATCAGAGAAATGCAAATTAAAACCACAATGAGATATCACCTCACACCAGTCAGGATAGCTGCCATCCAAAAGACAACAACAAATGTTGGCGAGGCTGTGGAGAAAGGGGAACCCTCCTACACTGCTGGTGGGAATGTAAATTAGTTCAATCATTGTGGAAAACAGTATAGAGGTTCCTCAAAAAACTCAAAATAGAAATACCATTTGACCCAGGAATTCTGCTCCTAGGAATTTACCCTAAGAATGCAGCAGCCCAGTTTGAAAAAAACAGATGCACCCCTATGTTTATCGCAGCACTATTTACAATAGCCAAGAAATGGAAGCAACCTAAGAGTCCATCAGTAGATGAATGGATAAAGATGTGGTACATATACACAAAGAAGAAAACAAATCCTACCATGTGCAACATGGATGGAGCTAGACGGTATTATGCTCAGTGAAATAAGCCAGGCAGAGAAAGACAAGTACCAAATGATTTCCCTCATCTGTGGATATAAAAACAAAAGAAAAAACTGAAGGAGCAAAACAGCAGCAGACTCACAGAACCCAAGAATGGACTAAAGTTGCCAAAGGGAAAGGGACTGGGGAGGATGGGTTGGAGGGGAGGGATAAGGGGGAAAAGGGGGCATTACGATTAGCACACATAATGTAGTTGGGGGGGAACAGGGAAGTCAGTATAGTAGCACAGAGAAGACTAGTAGTGATTCTGTAACATCTTACTACGCTGATGGACAGTGACTGTAAAGGGGTATGTGGTGGGGACTTGATGATGGGGGGAGTCTAGTAGCCATAATGTTGCTCATGTAATTGTACATTAATACCAAAAAAAAAAAAAGATTAGGTATCCGTCTATACTTAGACATTGTACTGTTTCACAGCTGCTTCTCTTTATTATTATTCCATATTCTGTGACACAAAATCTCATCAACAGCACCAAAACATCTGAGAGATGAAGGTGTGTGAGAGCCGCAGGTGACTTTTCCTGGATGTCCCTTTCTCCTTTTCCCTCTGCAACACTGCTGGGTGGGCAGATGAGGTTCCCTGACTCCTGTAGGTGTTGCTTTCAATTAAATGGAGAAACACAAAAAGAAAGGAAAACAATTCCTTTTAAGCTGCTTTTTCTTCCAGGACCCCTGTAGATCTCAAGGTCTGATTCCAATCCAGAAGGATGACCTGTGGTGAGGTTATACTGACCCTTTGAAATGATTCATAAATGCTTTATTAAGTTTTCAGAAAAATCAACCCTCTAAACTCTTAAGTTCTGTACATACAAGTTCTCATTCTTCATTAAGCTTTGATTTACTTCTTAGATGTTTTCATCTTTCTAACCATCCACCGTCTTTTAAACCTCTTGGCATCTTGTTTTTTCTGGGTTCCTAAAGTAGAAAGTTTTGTACACTAAGAGAAAATTCCTTAAGTACAAATAATTAAAAAATGTCAAGGCTGTCTATATGAATATAAATACTAAAATTAGGCCTATTAAATTAGATTGTATATTAGATTACATGCTACTTGCTGACCTTTTTTCAGAGGCAGTGTTAAAATACTTATAATTACAGGAACAATGTAAAAAAATTTGATACTTCATAATTATTTGAGTACTTATTATTGCCTTCAAAAAGAACATTATTTAATACACTTGACCTCTGAATCATGCAGGATTTAGGGACTCTGAACCACCATCCCCCACATGGTGCTGACAATCTGTGTGTAACTGACTCTCCCAAAACTTCACTAACAGCCTTTTGACCAGAAAGAAGCCTTACCAGTAACATAAGCTGTCAATTAACACACATTTTCTGTCATACATATTATTTCCGTCTGTATTCTTACAATAAAGCAAATGAGAGACAAGTTTTTTTTCAAGTTGTCAAAAATCTCCCAAGATTATTTCCAATATTAACTATTGAAAAAAACCCACGTGTAAGTAGACCTGTACAGATCAGACTGCATTGTTCAGAGGTGAACTGTATATAAAAGAAAGAAAACTAGACCTTACCCCAAGCATTAGTCAAAAACTGGACTGCAGCTTTTTTCACTGGTGACCTCTTGTTGTCAAGAGACAGGAACTTATTTACTGGAAAAGAGAATCACTTATGATTTCTTTAGTTTGCAGTAAAAAAAGAGAAAAACAGTCCATAAGGAAATTACCGGTAGTTCTGCTGGTTCCTGGACCGTACAAAGAATTCTGTATGAAGGCTTTGGCTGCTTGTTGCCTTGAATCTCTCAGATCTTGATCTTTTAGCCTTACAGCTAAGTAGCTTTTATTCTGGCTGGTGATCAACACAAAAGGTCAAATGAATGAGGTTGATAACACACTCGCTTTCAAAATATTTTTATTAGTTGTCTCAAAAAGTGAAATAAACCCAAATCCTAATCTTATACACAGATAAGATAATGAACCAAAACTAAATTCTAGGGCTGTTTTGTAAGAAATAGATTAATGATCACATTTTATTAGAGGAAATGTTAAGTATCAAAATGGGTTTCCCCACAGAGGATCCAGTCTGGAACTGGTACTAATTAAAATATTTTCCCACATAAGCCAAAACTTGAACTCTTCAAAAGGTCACTTCTACATTCTACATGAAAGGAGATGACTTCTTACCCAACAGATTGTACTTTCTGCACTTGAGCTTTCTTGGAGTTGCTTCCTTTTTCACATTCTTCATTTTTCTTTTGCAGCAAACTAACTGAAAAATTGAGTTTCATTTCTAATTAGCACTTACATAAAAATAAATCAAGATATTTACTGGAATTCACTTTAAACATCCACTACACACCAGTTTGGTTGCAGTTTTTATTTCAAAGACATACAGGGAGCAGGCCCAAGCTCAACCTGGCCAGGCCTCATGAGCCCACACTCTCTTATCATGTAGTAAATTTGACTGCAAATACCAGCAGATGAATTGTAACACCTACAGGAGCAGCTGTTTAAATTAGAACAGTTCATACCTTCTTTCAACTTTCCTGGTGATTTCTTTATGCTAAGGAAGAACAAAAAAAAAAACACATTGGAATGTCAGACAGCAAAGATTACTCAACTTGTTATATAGCTGTAAATAAGATTATCCCTTTTCATTACCACTATCCTCAGTTTTTACACAGGATGTTTCTTTCATCAGTTTGGAAAAACAAAAGTCACTGCCCAATGGGCCACCATCAAGTCCCAATCAAGAAGCTAGTGGATGTTAGGATGGGAGTATGTTCTTAGAACTCAGGATCTGAAAGCTTATCGTAAGGCTTCCAAAGATGCAGACTGCTGTGGTTATCAGAATTACAGTGACTTAGGAATGAGTTATGTGATACAGTGTTTATGATATTAAATGAAAGGTGGTAAGCCTGCCTCATTTTATCTGGAGAAATCACACATGATTAATTCAACAGTTTGGGCACAAGACACAAGGAGTAGCCTCAAGAAGTCTGGTCTAATGGAGAGACAAATATAAACTGACAGTACAGTAAGAGACGCCTATAAAAGCATTTGCAGAGCAGAGAGCTATACAGAGGAGGAAATGATGGGCGGGGAGAGTGAGAGAAGGGAGAAGTGACATTTGATCTTGGTTTTGAAAGATGAAATGCCATCAAACATATTTGTTTGTTTAATGGATTCAGGATCTGAGTAACTCGTTGGAAAAGTTCTCATACTGAAAGATTTGCAAACCTTTGGCCAAGATAACAGGGCTAAACTTCTGAAGATTAAGCAACATAGAGGAGAAATAAGAGGAATGGGAGAAAATATACCTAGAAGTTTAAATTTGGTAATTTTTGATTGATTCCATGGGATGAAGCTTTGGATGACTAGAGCATCTGGCTTTACAGTCAGTGGATGCCAGAAGTTCCCATGAAATGGGAACAAGGGGTGAGGATGGCTTGGCGGCAGTTGAGTATGGGACAAGTTGAGTTTTAGGAGCCTGTGGATAAATGTCTGCTACTCCACTGAATGATAAATTTCAAGACACTGTTTTATTCACCACCATCTACCCTACTCCTAATACAATGACAGTGCAACAATTTAAAGAACATACTGGGATAGGAACCCAGAAAGTAGAATTAGCTATGGAGATGAACACAAAGAAATGGCAAAAGACTGAAAACAAGTGGTGTATTTACCTCTACCTTTCCCACCAAATTGAAATCATCTACTGTGCAGCTTTTTAACTTCGGTTTTATTATCTCTTCAATTATGTGGATTCAAATAAACACCATTTTTATAATGCAAAGATGGTGTATGTAAACAAGTAATATAACAAGATCCATTACTTACTCAGTCTGTGAAGCTGTAGTTAACTTCTCTAGAATAGTATCTGGAAGGAGTTTTCTTTTCTTAGATAAAGACATTTAAAAAATGAGAGTCAGGTACATGACAATTATGCCCTGGGCTGCTTCTGAAGTTAGCCATTTTAAGGATAGCCTTTTATCTACGCAAATAAATGAATCAGGCTGAACACCGCCTCCCCTCTCTCAGCTCAGCTGTGGGAAGACTGGGATCACAAAACCCAAAAGCTATCCCACATTCTTTGGAAGAGCTGGTGAAGACTGGAAAGGATGCCCATGTGTTCCAACCCTCAGGTCATGGACACCACTGAAAGCAGCTAAGTCATGTCCATCTGGAGTCCATCTCCGTGGCCAATCTGGCCAGCATCCGACAGCAAAGCAATCATACTGTTTGTACAGACCAGTTTACAAAGCACCTCGTTTAATTTCACAGCACCCGGTTTCTGATAAACTACCTCGGCGGGACTAAATGAGTGTCTCGGTGAGCTGTCAGAGGCGGCATTCACCCTAGGACTTGAAATTCACACCACTTCCCACTCCCGTTTTCCAGCTGGACAGCAAATAGAAAACCCTTGTCTTCTCCGTTGTCAGAAAAAAAATTGGTACTTGCACCCCCAAATCCTACCAGCTTCGGCCTCAAACAGGGGAACTGTACCCCGAGCCTGGCTCTCTGAAAGGACGCGCCTCTGCCCGCTAACCTTCTGTTCGATGAACAGCTCCTCGCGTCGCTTCCTCTTCTCCTTCAGGAGCGTTTTGTCCCTGCGGAGAGGGGGACCCGTCAGGGCGGGGAGAGCCTAGCGGGGGGAAGGGGCTGCCCCTGGGTCGCCCGCAGGCTCCGAACCTGCGCACCGACTCCCGAACGCGCTGCTGCTCTTCCCTCGCGTCCGCCTGGGCGCTGGCGAAAGTCAGCTCCTCCGGGGCCTCGTCGTCAAATTCGTAGGCCCCGTCCTCGTCTTCCCGCAGCGGTTCGGCGGCCGCGCCGCTACTGGGCTGCGGGAGCAACAGGCCGTGCTCCGCCGCCGCCTCCAAGGCGGGCGGGCCTTCATCCACCGCCGCCAAGACCGAAGCCGGCGCGCATGACACGCGAGGCCGGAGCTGCACCATCGCCACGCAGCGTCAGACCGTCTGGCTCCGGCGCGGAAGCAACCTCGGTGCGTATCCGTGAAGAGCAAGTGGCGCGGGCTCCGGCGCCCCCTGCTGGCGCGGAGGCCCCACTGAGCTGCGCAGACCCGGGAGACAGCGCCACGACCGGGGCAGGCGCGTGCGCAGAGCATGGAGGCGGGTCCGAAGGGAGCAGGGGGCGTGTTCTTCCCCCAGGCGGGGAGGCCGGTGCCTCCGCTTCTTCGCGGCAGGGCCGGCGCTGCTGCTGTGAGAGCGGGTGCGGAGCGGGCTGGCTGCCAGCCCGGGAGGATCCCTCGGCTACCTCCTCGGGCGGGGTGTCGAGAGGGTTGGCTGGGTCCCCGCGCCCCTCGTGGCGGACTGGCGCGGGTTGCGACGCCTGGGGCCCATAAATCCGGTGGCCGCAAGCTACCGTCGCCGCCTCTTCTAGCACCGGGATCTGCTTGGTCGATGCATTTAATGAGTATTTGCAGATTTGGTTCTCGCTCCCCGAACAAGTGGCGTTTCAAAGGCAAGAAATGCGCCGTAGCGGCAGGACCTCGAAGTGTCACCGCCCAGGACAGACGCAGGGTCAAATCAACTCTCGGAGCCAGGCATGTGCCCGGGTGCCGTTTCGCAAGCTTTCTTCAGCACCAGCCCCCTGCCCACGCCTCTGTTTTCACTCGTCACCGCTGCCACCTCCTGCCTGCCATCTGATAAACCTTTAGAACGTAAGCTGCTGTGCCCCCACGTCCTCGAACAGGGCTGGCTCTCGCAAGCCTGAATCTTGCGAAAGAACGACTTTTTCACGATTACTCGGCGAATGCAACCCTAGTGCTGTTTATATTTGTTTTCCAAGTGTATTTCATTTCTTGGCCCACATGGCCCTTGGCAATTGCTGTGCTGCTTCTCCCACCCGTTGTACAATAGCAAACGAGTTGAACAAACCAAGCTGCTTCACACTTGCTATGCATTTAGACATGCTGTTCCCCTACCGACACTACCAGAGCTGAATTTCTCTTAAAGTCTCTCAAGCCCCATAACACTTATTCCATCCCCACTCTGCCCATCTCTAATTGCATTCTCCTCTGAGTCTGGCACACATTTCTATTACTGTAGCTTCCACACTGTATATAATAGATTACACAACAGTTGTCCCAGCTGTACTGTGAAATCCTTGAGGGGATGGTCCATGTCTTCCTAATCATTTTATTTCTAATGTCTCTCATATGGTAGATGTTCAAATATTAAATTGAATTGAGTAATTCTACCTCACATACACTTTGTGTTTTCAATTCTCTTCATCTTGTCTAACAAAACCAAAGCATGAACAGAAATGTCAAAACACAAAAACAAAAACAAAAGCTGCTGATACCAAAGGCCCAGTATGAGAAGAGCGGGAAAGAACAGCTCTGAAATATCTGGGCCTTGGCCAGGGAGAAATTACTAATTACAAATATACTCAGACTCCCTGAGGCAGTGTGCTGACTTCCATCATTGCTAACCCTAGGAAAATGTATAGAGCTGACTTTGAGAAGCCCAAGGACAAACCTACTGAAAGTGAATGATGGTATTTCATGAACAAAACTGCAATGGTACTTAAGTATTACAAGTGTACCCGGGTTGACTCGCTCATGTGAAGTGTGAAATTAAGTCCTAAGGGTGTTTGACTGGTCCCTCAGATTCCTCATGGGTTATGAACATCGCTTTTGCCCCTGTGAAGAGCCTTTGGAACTTATTAGAAGGTACGACTTGCAAATACAGTACAAAGTATATGTGATAGGGTCGTGCCTATTTCTATAAAAGCCAAGAGCATGACATTAAATGAAATTTTATAAGGGGCTGTGGTGATGTGGACCAGGTGGGTAATCACCCAGACAGCCACCTGATCTGAAGGCCCTGTTATGTACGACTTCCCTGCACTGTTTATAAAGACCTGTCTTCTGAGTCAGGCCACACGGCGGGCATTCCAAGGGCCGACAGTCCTGCATTAGGTGGTAAGGCTTCAGGAGAGAACTCTATTCTCACTGTTTACTCCAAGGTAGCATAAGCATACTTTTGTTTCAGTCCCCTGGGAAAAACTCCCTGCAGAATTCAGTGTCTGGGAAAGCTTGGCAGCTCCCGCAGGGACTGTGTGGCTCCGTGTTTATGACATTGAGAAACAGTTGGCCATCACCTCTCCCTGTCCTCTCTGGCTGCATAAATTTTAAATTTTAGGCAGCTTTGTTTATCCTTGGAGTACATATATTTGCATTGTTTTTTTTCTCACCCTGATTTTCTACATTATTACTACTCTACTCTTCCTTCCTTGCCTGAGTTCCTGTTGGAAGCTAGCCCACCTACTCTGAGGGGAGGCAGCCCAATAAGGTAAATACTGAAAAGAAAAACCCCCAACAAATCCATCTCTTGGGGTAACATCTTTACACACTAAATTATTTTCTGTAAAGAGGGACTTAATTTTCCACCAAAACTTGTACAAAAATCACAAATACCAAGGTTTCACTCTGTACTTCTATCTTTGCCCAAATAGCACAACCACAATAGGGAAGAGTACGTTTTTTAGACAATCGAATTACAAAACTTCTTCCCTCCCAGACACATCAGAGGTATCTTACGTTTACATTCACACCAAATAACATGCATTAACTTTATAGTTCTCTCACTTCTCCCTCTAAATACTTATACATGTTGCTTCTAAGAACCCATCATTTATCATCAGGTTGGATTCCAGCCAGGGAATCAGAGGATTTTTTAGATTTTCCAGTCTTCAGCTCACCATCTACAAGATTGTTTCTCCTCGATTTGTGGCCTGGTACTCAGACATAACAGTATGTGATCTCTTCCTTCTCCAGGACAATCAAGAAACATTTTCGGTTTCATGAGGAGCAAGGGCTTCAGGAAGAGTCGTACCACAGGGCCCCTGGAAATGAAACCTGGAGGAGAAGGGCAAAGACAGGAGGGTCCTGAGCAACATGACAGGGCTTCTCCAGCAAGGCACACGTTTCTTAGTTATACCCAGAGTAAAACCGAGACCCAAATTCTCACACATCTAGTATTCCAGACTTTTATTCCCACTTCTTTCATCCAGTTTCTGACAATGCCAGAAGTAGACATTTCCCCATGAGTTGCCCCTGTGGCCAAGGGAACCTAAGAAAACAAATTGCCTTGAATTTAGGTGCTATATGATCTTAAGGGGCAGGGAAGACATGATTGTAAAGCATATTTCATGATTATATTGCTGAACTCATAATTGAAATTTTAAGTTTCACAAAATCTATCTGCACTAAAACAGATTCATCCGTACTAACAGCAGGAGAAGAACCACCTCATGCACTGTGCAGGCTGCGAGGATTTTGCCTGCGTCAGCAGGCCTCAGACCATCCATCAACGGCTCTCAGGACAAGCTCTGATTTATAGTCAGAAAATAGGAGAAAAAAAAGGAAAGGACAAGCAAAGACGAGGAACAAAGAAGATGCAAAAGATCAGTGATTTCTGCTTCCTTCAAGGGAAAACACTTGGGAAAGGAAAAAAAAACAACTAACTCTGAGTAAGAAATAAAAGCAGAATTTTCTAGTGTAATGATAATAAGAAAACCAACTGAGCACAATTAAAATGGCAAAGGCGTTTACTCAATGCAATTCATCATTCATAGTATTTATTCTGGACACAACACAAATCGGGCATGCCTTAGCCCTCAAATACCCTGTTATCTCGAAAAGGTGCCCCCAGTGGACATCCTGGACCAAATGGCATCTCCACTCCTGCCACTGCAGCAGGACACTGGACACTGCAGCCAGAAAGCTCCTTGCCTTCACAGTGGTTACGGTCCCTCAAGGGCTTTCCGAGAATGGGGAGCCAGGCATGCGGAGCTTGAGGCAATTCGCATATCCTCAACTTCCACCTGTTCTCTTTCCTAAGAAAGTGGCTTCTGGGTGCTCCCTTCCACATTCACCCACCTCCCATTCACAAAAGCAAGCTGTGCCCCTCACCAAATCTCAACAATGGTGCCTTATCCCAGGACGGGGAAACTTACAGGGTGCCAAACAGAGACCCATGAAACATGTGAACTTCTGAAGACTGGCAAACAGATGCAAGCAGGCCTGCTGTGTTCTTACTCTCAATAAAACTGAAAGAGGATCTGAGAGGACTGCAATTAACAGATCACTGCATGTGATACAAAATTACTCTGTGTATTTTAGCCTGTAACTTGGAAGGAGGTCCAAACTCTGAGAGGCAATGCCCTAACTTCCTTTCATGCCTGGGAGGAAGCAAACTAAGCAGAAACAGAAAATTACAATTGACCTAGAGAAGGTGAAATTTAGCTAAATCAGGTTAAAAGGAAATATTACTCCAATTTTTGCTTTTCTCATTCACCTAGAACAGAAGTTGGCCAACTTTTTTCTGTAAACAGCCAAAGAACAAATATTTTAGGCTTCGCAGGCCAGGCAACAGTCACTGTTGGAGCGACTCAATTTTGTCATGATGCAAAAGTAGCTGAAGACAATACACAAACCTGTGGCCAAGGCCGAGCTCCAGCAACACTTTATATACTGATACAGCAGGTCGGTGAATTTGGCCTACCAGCAGTAGTCTTCTGACCCCTGACCTAAAGTAAAGTTCAACCCAATTCTGTTACACACAAGATGTAAGAGAAAAATCCACCGTTGTTAAGCTGTGTTTAAATAAACCACTCAATCCCCATTTCAAAAACTTGAGTAGGAAGAAAGGGCATCACCATGTCTCCTCTAAACGTCAGCTTTGATGATGCTTAGATAAAAGCACTGATGGCTTCACTGGTCAGTTATACACTGGTCAGAAGATTCCCAGACTTAGCAGTACAGACAGCCTCGGCTCCACAAGGAAGCCAATGAACAGACAGTGGTTCTTGTGGTAGGTGCTGGTCGATGAAGAGCTTGTCCAGTTTGAGCAGTTTCTAACAAGAAAGTAGCCTGTTTGTCTGAACAGAGACATCGGAGGTTTGCAGAACATGAAGCTTAAGAATTCTGTTGAAGAAGAGTGGCAGCTGAAGCAGGTCTGTG